GGAGCCATGCCCTGGCCCTGGTAAAGACCAGAAAACTGGGCACTGCTCTTCAAGGGTCACAGTGCTGTTCTCCACTCATCAGTCCTCACCAGTACCACCCTTTCTTTACTGTTTCAAGACTTCAGGCCAGGGAATATAAGGATTGGGTGGGGTGGCATGGGAGAAGGGAGGGGGAGAACTGGCAAATGCCACTAGACCCTGAGACATAAATGTCCTAAAGGGGAAAATGCTACAAAGTCCTAAAGGATACCAGAGGCTTGAGGCCAGGGGACAAATTTTCGGAATAAAAGCTTGGAGCAGTTTTATACAGCGAAATCCCACTGTCTTTGTAAACAGTGCAATGAAGCAATGTTCCCTGGGCTCATTGGCAGTTAAGACAGAGAAAGGTTAAAAATAAAAGAAAGGCAAATATTTATCAAACAAATACAAACAAAAGGAGAGCAAGGATGGAAATTTTAATCCCAGACAAAGTATAATACAAAGACAAAAGCATTTCAACGGGCAAAAGGGTTGGCAAGAGGTTTCATCCTAATAAAGAAGAAACAGTCATGGGCAGTTATATACCCAATTATTTAACATCAAATTATAAAAAACCAAAACTGTTTAAAATACAAGGAAAAAGGGAAAGAAGTACAATTGTCTGGAAGGTTACCCTGCATTCCCAACCTTTTGTAGAGCAGGTAGAAAGAAAAATCAGTAAGAGGGAAAGTGCAAATGCTGAAGAGAGATGAGTAGCCAGAAGTTTCAACCACTGTCATGAGTCCATGCCCTGGGAAAGGAGATTCAACACGGGATCTGATGGACACACCATTAGGTAGGGTCAGAGAAGTTACAATCAGTGTTTCCACTAGGTTCATGTGGCTGGAAGAACAAAATTCTGTTGTAAGAGAAACCACATGCCCATCAGCGATTCTCTCCTATTAGTGACTTCTTCTAGGCTTGACCTTGTGAATTTCCAAAGTAGAGCATAGGAGTTCTGATTATTTGCAAGCAGATGCACTCATAGGCAAATTAACCTTCTAGTGTCTGGGTTATATCTCGAACACACTCCAAATCCCACTGCATTGATCAAAAAGATGATTCCCACTTTCCAAAGTAATCAACACAGTCCTGGATTGGTTGGGGGTCTACCCGATACTCTAACTCATGGGATGCTGTCGCATGTTACACAGGGCCCTTCCCTAAAGTGGAGAGAGCTGGAAAGTAAGAATGAATTGAGATTTTATTGAGCATTGGTGGTCAAAACCTGGAACACTTAACTTGGTTTTCAAGACTGAGAGGTTCATTATCAGAATGCTAAGCCCAAAAGGTCATAAACTGGGTAGCCATCCTAGCAGAATGGGAAACAAGATGAGGAGAGAGATCAAAGCCAATGGGTCCCAGCCAAGGATCGTGAACGTCACTGGAGAGCCAGACTTAGGTCTACTGGCTCTCAGTGGAGGCTCTGTGGGCCAGTCAGGCTGGTTTCAAGATGCAGTGTGGTAGGACAGACGGGCCATTGGTCATTACTGGTTAAATGCAAAAATGGATAACACATCTTCTACTGCCAGGCCTCTGTCAACTCGCCCTTGCCCATTTTAGTATTAATGGAATTCAGGTCATAAGGGGTAAGAAGGAGGTAGCCAGGAATCCCTCTCCCTATGCCCAGAATTTGAGGGTTTCATATTATAGTCTTTCTACATCTACAACTGTGATTGATACAACGATGCAAGAAGACCTCTTCTACTCTTTGAGAGGCTGGAGGAGTTCAGATTTTAAACCTGTTAACAAAGCAACTGAATGGGATCTATTAGGTTCCCTGTGTATCAAAATTTACTATATTGCACTGATTTGCTGGCAAAGAAGGAAGAGCCAATTTGCACGGTTCCTGTCAGTCACATGTGGTTTGGAAGTGCTCATGCATTCCAGATACACTCTGTGTACACTGGAGAATTGTATCTTATTTCTGCTGGTTTGCATGCATGCATATGAAACTTGTTTTTCTCCCAGAGCCAAGTGAAAATAGGTGAAGAACTAGCAGCAGTGCAGCCGTGATCACAGTTAATCAACTTCTTTATGAAAACGCCATAGCTCCAACGGTGAGAATTCTCGTCCCTCGGGTCTATAGAGGCTGTGACTTCTACTTTTCTGGCTCACTTGTTCAGTGCTGTTCCATGGAGCACTGAGAGAGAGTCTGTAACTGTCACTCAACACACAGTTTCTGATCCCTACTATGTGCCATCCTCCTGCTAGGTACTGAGAGATACTGAGCAGAATCCCCACTGCAGGGAGCTCAGAGTTTAGTGGGAAGGGACATCAAGTAAATAAATAGTTACCACCCAGTGTGACAGCTGCTTTTGTAGGGTGTGGGTTGTGTACGAGACCCTATGGGAACAGGGAGGGAGTTTGTCAACACTCCACAGAAGAAGGTGAATCTTGACAGTGAATCTGAGTTGAAGTGAAGAGGGACTGGAAGGCATTCAAGAAAGTAGGAACACTATGTGCAAAGAAAAGAAGTTCATCAAGAACACATGTTTCAGGGACCTGAAAGAAATTCTGTGTGGCTTGGGGCCAGAGGTAGAGACAGCAGAGAAAATAATTTGAAAACACATGAGAGGCAATCATTCTAGTAAACAATGTTATTTTAATAGTCTACATTCTTGTGTTAATAGTCGAAGATGTTTGTTCACTAAGACTTAAGAGTTGCAGATAAACCAGCTAATGTTCCAATGTGCATTATCCTGACTCTACCCCTTACTGTTTCTCCCTTCTGAGCACTTGCAACAATACCTGGCACAGAGTTAGCACTTAATGAATGTAAACCACTATTACTGCATGGGGTAGATGGCCTCTAAGGTGGCCCCTAGTGATCCATGCCCTGATGCAAACTCCTCTCCTTGAGTATGAGCTGGAAGTATTGACTCATTTCTAAGGGATAGACTATCTACCAGAAGTAATGGGTTGTTACTTCCAACATGATATTATAAAAAGACTGTCGCTTCCCTTTTGGACAGGCTCTCACGCACTCAAACACTCTGGCTCTTTTTGTCTCTTAGGTTACTAGTTGCCATGTCACAAGGACACTTGGGCAGCTCATGAAGAAGCCCACGTGTCAAGGAATGGAGCCATGCCTACGTGAGTATGCCCACTGTCAGCACCTGTGTGAGTGAACTTGGATGCAGATCTCCTGAGGCCTGCCAAGAGCCACATGAGTGAGCTTGGAAGTGAATTCTCCAGCTCCACTCAAACCTTGAGGTTACAGCAGCCTTGGCCAACAGCTTGATGGAAACCTCATAAGAGACTCTAAGCCAGAGGCACCCAGCTGATGTGGGTCCAGATTCCTCGCCCACAGAAACCATGATAAGCCACTACATTTTGATATAATTTGCTACACAGCAGAACACAACTAAGATACTATACTAGTACTGTTTACTCCTAGTCCTTACCAAGGCCGGGTTTCTGGTATACCTAGGTTGGTTGTGGTGGTGGTATCAGACTTTCTCCTTGGTGATGGAGCATGGCCTAGACACCCAGCCTCTGTGACTAGGATCCCAATGGCCTGACACCGTACTCCTTGAGGGACCAAACCCTGTTACTTAGTGTCTCACCTAACTCATCAGATGATTCATAGAATGAGTCCAGCCCAACTACAGTACAGATTACTGTGTTTGGTGTGCTCCCCCATCAGGGCCAACCTTGGGTACACCAACACTACTATTACAGTCCCTCCACTAGCTGCTGCCAAAGTCCAGGAAACCTCTATCTAGATGATGACAACTACAGATGCCCACAGAAAGACATGTGTAGCTAACATATTCTTGCTTTCCATATGTAACTCTAATTGATTATATCACATGGCTTAGAAACTAATTGTTAGACTTGCTATATACAGTCCAGGTGGGAACAAATGGAAAAACATAGATTGCTTTGGGAACACTGGATTTTTTGGCTGTGAATTTTTGGCAGTTTATATAACAAGATTAATTTTAAGGCAGTGGTTTTATATGTGAAAAAGATTTTAAGACCTTGTAAAGATGTTAAATATTTACATTAAATATTATGCTCAGGTAAGGAATGAAAAACAAAATATAAAACCCAAATGTGCCCTCTACCAGTGGTTCTTTGCTAACTTCTTAGGTCTGTTTAGCAGTTCTTAGGCACATTTTATAGTTAGTGATTAAGCACCCACTGCATATACAATGCTGTATATGGAAACAATGGCAGTTCATCAAAGCCACAGGAAAAGGAAGGAAGGAAGGAAGGAAGGAAGGAAGGAAGGAAGGAAGGAAGGAAGGAAGGGAGGGAGG